ATCTATCTGATAATTATGTAGTGGTTTGGGAAGTAATTCGTCCGAAAGGCTTTATCAGTGCTGCTTCTTTTTTACGCAAACGTGATAGGTCCTTCTCCATCCAACTCGTTGCATTTGAATCATTGAATTGTAAATCATGTTTGTTACGTGTGGGATTTCAGAAGCTAGTACCACTCTCGTAGTTGCTTTTCCAGACAACATGTCTTTCTACAGAGAACAGTACCAGACAGTAGTCGACAATCGTACGTGCTCCCAAACCGTCTGGTATAGTGAAGGTACGACTCGTTTTGAAAGCCTCTCCATATCATTCGGAATTGAATGCGCGATTGGCCTGCAAGATAGGTGAGGCCTGCCTCCTCACGAGTTCGTCAGGGAGTTGCAGCAGGCAGATGGCTCCGGTCAGATTGCCAGTGAAGTTAGCAAGACGATGCGCGTCACAGGAATTGTACATGCTCCCCAATCCCCCTCTCCATTACCATTAGTCCACTTTGCTAGCCGCGCCCGAAACGAATATGTTGTCGTTTTCGGGTTAAGCCAAGGTACAAAAAAGGTTTGAAACCAAATCAGCGCTAAAGGCTTACCAGGACATTTACACGGAGAAAGATGTCAGGATGCAGGATGCAATTGTGCGTATGTACCTTGCCTTGTACCGGAACTGTCACTCTTCGCCACTAGTACATTTACACGTACACTGACAGTAGAATACTGGGAACGCAGCCAACGAGATACAAGAGACCTTTCAAGGCTGTGTATGTGCCCCTGGCCCTGTGTGGTGTTAACATTGATAATGTGCTAGACGTGATCTTGGCTGAACGACTATCATCCACGTGTCTATGTAGATGTCCATGTGCACGTGCATAATACAATGTATCCAGCTTTAGCTAGCTAGCTAGCCTCCGTTGACGTGGGTGCCCGTTTAGGGTGCTCGTACACGTCAAGCAACGCGTTTCAAACGAGATACATGGACAATGTACATTGACTAATGGGCGTCGACATCGATGCCACCATCCGATGGAGCAGCGCAAATTCCTTGAGAACAAAAGTACATCAGGCGCGTCAGATATCCACACATTGTAACACGTTGGATTGGTTTCCGCTCCTCGCATCGCCTACGGCATCAGCATTATTGCTAACGAAGTACAAGTGGGGGAAGATGGGTGAAAAGGAAATTTCATCGGCGGAAATGTGGAGAGGAACTTATGCCGTCCAATCTCAGATAAGCTGATGCACTAGGTCACAGCCTGAAGGTGGATCTTGTTAGGAGAGGAATGCAACGAGGGAAATATTTTGTACTCGGTCTGGGAGTGCAAGGCCATCATAGTGTTCTTGGCTCGGTGAGCTGGAATTTTACTACGGGAAAAGAACTCTCCAAGGAGTGGTGCTTTCTTGCAGGTTGGCCGAGTGGAGGGTTCGATGTGCTGCGCCTGCGCTTCAGACGGCTGAGTCGTGAGTCAGTCAAGGGTCAGGTCAGTGGGCAGGAAGCGTGAGCTCCGACGTTAGGACCAGCCACCTTCTTCGCATACTATTCCATAGTCATGTATGTCAAACAACGAAACTCCTATAACCTGTCTTTAGCGAGGACTGCCATCAGATACCACCTATATTGAGAGGTCGTTCATCTCAGGACCCAGACCATGCATCAACATACTTTCCGACCTGTGTAAAAAGACCACCTGTATTGAGAGGTCGCTCATCTCAGGACCCAGACCATGATGCATCAACATACATTCTGACCTGTGTAGAAAGACCACCTGTATTGAGAGACCGCTCATCTCACGACCCAGACCATGCATCAACATACATTCTGACCTGTGTAGAAAGACCACCTGTATTGACAGATCTCTCATCTCAGGACCCAGACCATGCATCAAGATACAGTCTGACCTGTGTAGAAAGACCACCTGTATTGAGCCATTTGAGAAGGGTAGTGCTAGTAGCAGTGCTAAGAAGCTGACATGGACAACAGCAAACAGAAGCGCGGCTGGACATCAGGGTTTGTGGCTTGTGGACGCTGCAGCAGGCGGCCTTCTTCCGTATCTCGGTAACAAATACCCAAAGTTATCCTGCTGTCTCGGCCGAAAGCCATGAGCGCAGTAGGAGTGAAAAGAACGCTCCCATGTGGGCTTGCAGCCCGTGTGTACTTGCGAATAAAAATAAAAATATATACGTATAAAACGTCCCTACGCAGAGCGAGTCAATCAGATTGACCGAGACGCATTCACCCCGCTAGTACATGTATTTGCGACCAACGACATAGGCAAGGAACGCTCCGTGTTTTTGAAGTCTCTGGTTGGCCTTCTAGTAGTTTGGAGAAACTTGTTGATTTGGTGTACAGTATTCTGGTGTGGTCAATCATTTGCGCTGCCATTTTGTCTTTCTGCCTACTGCGCTGGTGTATCACTGTTTGGATTGATATCCTCGCAATCATGAGTCGCATGACTCCAAGCGTTCGGCATGTTTTAGTAGACGACTGCCGAGTGCTCTCTTGGGCATATTTGAGCTATTACCATCTCTTGCTATAATATAATTATTGATTGTGTGATTAAAGTTTGTTTTCCAGAGTCTTAAATAGCTTGATTATCCTTTTTGTAAAATTAAGGATTTTGCTGCTAGAATTTGTGTGGAATGTAGAGGTTTCTCTTTTCTCTACTATAAACATTGTTTTGAAGAAGAAGTTGGTGCGACTTCGGCGATACTTGGGGAATTGTGTGTTGCTCCCTACATGCGAGCTCGCGCTTTTCTGCCGACTTGAGTTCTCACTTGACTGACTCACGACTGCCATCCAAAGCGTACCAGAAGTCCATCAAACCGTCCACTCGGCAAACCTGCAAGAAAGCACCACTCCCTGCTCAATACACAGTGTTTCGGGGAATTGAAATCACCCCTCATCAGTTGAGCTTGAGTGGGCTGAGGAAGATTTTGCCTGAAAAGCACCACGTATACAGTGCTCTCCCGGCAAAAACATCGCCAGGGATACAAACGTACGGAGACGCTCCGTTTCCAACGCGACAAACATTGTGGTTGCAATACTCTTTTTTTGTAAATGTATTTTGCTTTTCTCTTTTTCCATTCTTTAGTCGGTTTTTGCATTCAATAGAACACATTTGGGTAGATAGATCGCTCAAACAACTACTGTACCTGTATTGATTCATGCCAACCCGGCTCAAAGCCAGGGGTGGGCCACAGCTTACCATGTTTAGATCATGGCATCAATCACCCTGTTTGTGTCTCGCTGCTGGCAACGTGTCCGGATTTCCCCGGAACTCGTGACCGATTAGGCCAGGCAGTGAATGGCTGCACGAGGAGATGTTCTGCGAAGACTCCGAGGATGACGCGCCCTACCAACCGACACTAACAGATGGGACCAAAAGACTTTACATGTAAGTAAATGCGACGGCAAAAGTCCTAATGATCTGGCTAGCGAATGGCTGCCGTAGCCAAACTAAATTTCGGCTTTCATGCCTGTTCGTATTATTCCTTTGTTTTGTTTGTTTGTTTAGTTTTATTTAAAAGTTCACCGTGGGCACAGGCAATATCTGCCTTCTTATTATGGTGCGCAGCAGTCTCTTCAGTCTTCATAGCATGAAGGATGCACACTCCATCACCAAAGCAAGTGTTCTCGGTGCTGCACAGTTTCATATCTGAGTAAGACTTATCGGCCAGGCAATAGCGTTGGTGTGGAGTTAGTGAAGTACACCAGTAAATGTAGCTTATTGGGCTGTTAGTTGACTTCTAGAACGTCAGTACCGTTGATCAGTGTCTTGAAATGTTATCGCATGCGCTGATTGTCAAGAAACTGATGGTTAAAACGTACTTGTGGTTCCTTAGTCCTTTTCTTTCATACAATGACGTGGTAGAATAATGCTAGGACATCACACCAAATCACACTAAATCGAATACGCATCGTTACAGTAAGACAATTATTATTAAATTTTTGGTTGTTACTGGCCCGCGTTTGCTGTGTAATACAGCACGGATCAGGGAAAAGTCCACTGAGGTGGAGTGTGCCAAAGTGACACTTTGGGCATGTGTCCGTTGCCCACAAACAACAATCTGCATGCCTAATCCATTCTAATACGAGTCGACGGCGCGAAAGTCCAATCTTTGTACATTGTATGAAGGTTCTCTCTCATTTTTCTGATTATTAGTATTAAATTTTCATTTTTTACAGAGACCGCAAACCTTCATGCAGGCGGGCCAGCCGGAACCGGTCCTGCTGAGGAGGTAATGTATACCCTCTAAGGCTCTATGTAGACACAAATTATTATACAAAAGAGTATGAAAGGTTCTGGCATGGCCGAGCCAATCAAAAGCTGCTTCTGGCGGTCCTGATGCAGGCGAGTGATAGCGACAGTGGGAGTGCTGAGATCCGAATAACCAATTCCTTGTGCGAACATAGTTCTCGGAGTGAACGCATTTCACGTGCACCGGGATAGAAAAGAGTGGAAGAAAAGGAGTGAATGCACTTCGACTTTTGATACTTTGAGCCGGTTTAGAACTTAGAAGTGCTGCGTGTGTGTTCTTCACTCGAATTCATTGCGATCTCCGCTGATTAGATCTAGCAGAGTGGAAACGACTAGTTGTACGGATGTTTGTTAGTTGGAAATATTGGTCCATCTACCTTGTATTTCGGAGTGTGAATGAGCCAAACTAATAACCTTCAAGTTTGCGTGATCTCAGATTATGTCCCAGAAAGACCGATGTATTCGATTGATACGGCATTCACGATGTGCATTTCCTTTGGCTGGGGGTTTCCTGCGCATCCGAAAGCTCTTGGCCTGCCGGGCGCTGATGGGTTATTCGCAGACAAGGATGAGTCAATGGTTGTGGCAATGACGGTCCGGGTGAATTTCACGGTCCACTGCGCCGCGATACTTCACACGCACCGTGAAATTCTGGTGAGTGCCAGCGCAGATAGCTGCATGGCGTTGATATCAAGAGAGATCCGCCAGCACCGTGATGATGTTGCAAAAAGCTACAATGCTTGGCATCACACCTGTGCTGCACAAGTTGCATGAGTATATCCGACGACTCTCGACTTTTGGGGGTTAGTAGGAGTTACTTTGTGTGTTGAGCCGGTTGAATCGCGTCGCAGGCTCGGTCCGTTTCTACAGATAATACCCATCGAGACTGTTCTCCCCTTCACACATATCCTAACCACTGAAGTCGCGTGTTGTCGTTGCCACATTGCCCTACAGAGTACAGGTGACCCGTGCAAGAGTTTTCTTTGGATCCTTGGGCTAGGATTGCAAATAGCTGTGATCTCGATAGTCAGCGAGTCGAGAAAAGGTGCCTACTCTTCCCGAAGATCGAGATTCGTAACCTACGGTAATCCACAGTCATGCAGCGCTCCAGTCTGCTGTTCATGAAGTTGTGTGTTGGACTCCTCATTCTGGCTTCTTTACTCTCCAGCGCGTCGGCCGAAGCCGAAGGTAGGCAAGAGCAACACTAGCCAGCATGTCCACTAGCTAATCCAATCCGAACTGTTTCGAGTTTGTGCAACTGTGAACGGTTGAAGTGCCTTGAAACAAACTTTTAAAAGGAGGCGCAGCTTACCACATCAAGGTGTGGATCCTCTTCTCTCAGTAGAGTCGAGTCGAGCGAGCAGTGACTCCCGGTACCGAAAGGCGGGCTCGCGCGCCCCTACTTGGCTAACCCCCAAGATGAAAGAGAAGTACATAATTATTATAATTGTAGCCGACTGGCCGAAATTTAAAAAAAGGACAAAAAAAACAAACAAAAAACAAGACGCGCGCTATCATTGAGACATTGACAGGGCTGTCGCATAAGCGTTTTGCTTGCTTTGCACTGAAAGTTGCTCACGTCGCGGTCCCTCCTTCCTCTCCTTCCTCTAGGCGACTAGATTTGAACTGAAGAATTGGAAAGGGCGTGGGTTGCTTGTACAGGATTATTTTTTATATTACACACCTTTAAGTGACTGGCCTACTCATACACGGGGGGGGGTCCTTACCAGGCCACGAGTTCCAAGAAGAATCCTTGCGCACCCAAGCAGGACTTGAACTTGGCACCCTCTGTTTCTCCCTCTTAGTATTAAACCATCCCACTATGCCTGTCTGCGCATGAAAAACTATCATAAAAATATATAGAACATGGTTGTCTTGGTGGATGATCACGATGTCATGTGACATGATATTGTGTGCGTTCTACAGAGGTGAACTGTACAACTAAGCCCTGTCAGAATGGTGGCACTTGTGACAACATTAACCATTGCTCATGTATCTTCGGGTACAGGGGCAGGCAATGCCAATATGGTGAGTTTCCACCACCCACCATTGTTGCAGGGGCGTAGCTGGTCCCTCCTGGGGAGGGGGGGGGGTGGTGCATAGACACATACATGATTGTATGTGCTGGTCCCCCTGGGGGGGGGGGGGGTGGGGTGGGGGGGGGTGCATGGACACATACGTGATTGTATGTGCTGGTCCCCCTGGGCGGGGGGGGGGGGGGGTGGTGGGAGGGGGTGGTGCATAGACACATACATGATTGTATGTGTAGGATGGTTGGTGCATGTCATTCGTGCACATTATGTGCTAGCTGAACCTAGGTCGAAATGTTCTGGGGGTGCACGTGCCCCCCCCCCCCCCCCCCCGTGCGCCATGCGGGCTACACGCCTGCAGCATGGGCAAGAGCCTAGCGGTTCCAGCTCCGAACCAGTTCTGAAAAATGGAATCTGCCACTTGTATCTATTAAAACCCATCACTTCAGGTCGTAAGCTCAAGCCTAGTGGACATGCACATGCATGTACATCAACGTTTTCCACCGCCCATTGGCTTTCTTATAGACGACCAAGTGGAGGTCACAAACAATAATTTCTCTTGGTTTAGTTTTCTGAAAAATCAGTGGATTCAAGCTAGGTGTGCACCTTGGGGTCCTGTTTCATTGCACCTTCCATCACTGTACATATCTGCAGTTCATAGGATAGTGGTCTGTTACATAATTTCCTCCACTTTCAGTGCCATAAGGGGCTGGATAATGTGCGCTGTCTCTCATGAACACATGAAGCACTCATATAACCCTGAATTTGTGAGCTCTCTCTCTCCCTCTCTCTCTCTCTCTCTCTCTCTCTCTCTCTCTCTCTCTCTCTCTCTCTCTCTCTCTCTCTCTCTCTCTCTCTCTCTCTCTCTCTCTCTCTCTCTCTCTCTCTCTCTCTCTCTCTCTCTCTCTCTCTCTCTCTCTCTCTCTCTCTCTCTCTCTCTCTCTCTCTCTCTCTCTCTCTCTCTCTCTCTCTCTCTCTCTCTCTCTCTCTCTCTCTCTCTCTCTCTCTCTCTCTCTCTCTCTCTCTCTCTCTCTCTCTCTCTCTCTCTCTCTCTCTCTCTCTCTCTCTCTCTCTCTCTCTCTCTGTGTCCCCGTCTCTGTCTCTGTCCCTCAACCTGTCTCTGTGTCTGTGTCTTTCTATCTCTGTGTCTCTGTCTCCATCTCTGTCTCTCTCTCTCTCACGCACGCACGCACAAACACAAACATTCGAAGACATACACACACATATATACAAACACTTCATCTCATCCCGATGTGTGATTCTCTGTCGTCTCTCTTTCCACTCACTGCGTGTTTTAACACCAGAGCCCACCACCACCCCCACAGACAACAAGAACAACTCGGACACTCTAAGCAGCACGCTGATCGCAATCGTCGTTGCTGCTACGGTCGGGCCTTCGCTCTGCCTGATTGCAGCCATCGTGTGCTGCTGTTCAGCCTGCTACAGGAGTCGAGCTAAGAAGCAAGCAAACGTGGTGTTTCATGCCGTATCTAACAACACCGGGCCATCAACCGAGCAGCACACGTCTACTTGCAACACGCCATGGCCAGGGCCGTCGGGCCAGCTCCCGCCTGGGCACATTGTCCCGGGCCATACGACCCCGGACCCCCAGGTTCACCACACGTGCACATGTGCCTGCGGGAATGCTCTTGTATCGCAGCAACCGAGTATTTGCAGTCCAGGACAAAACAGCGTTGGGAACACACCAGGGCATGCGGTGAGACACAATCCGTTCCCCATGCCCGAAACCAGTCCTACTGCGCATGCTCCCCAGCTGAACAACACTGGAGGCCAGCCAGCCAGCGCGGTGCAGACTGGTATGTATACCAACCTTCCAGACACACGTGTGGCCATCATGCCCCATGCTATGCCACAGCGACAAGCAAGCGTGATTTCCAGCGCCGAGTACTATTATGTCAGCAACATTGCAGAGCACCGACGCTTGCAGTCCTGCCACGGTGGTCAGCATGCGGCAACAGGCACACTGCCATTGTCGGCGGTGGCGACGGGTCATCAATTTCCACAGCGCTCTCCCCACGCCCAGTCGATTCCAGCGGCCGTAGCCATAGCGCTGCCGGTCACGCCGGGCTTGGTTTTAACGCAGAACGACACGGCCAGCTTGAGCCGTTCCCACTCGCCGATCCCTCAGCCGCCGCATCCACCCGGCACATCACCTCCGCCCCTACCCGCCGACCCAGCCAACGAGATTGTCGCCGTGGAAACAAGAGCACCCGCCGTCGCCAGGCACTATGAAGTGGACGATGACGTTACCACTACAACACTGAATGACGTAGGCCTTTACGAAGTGGAGGACGAGGGAACGGATGATCATGTGTTTGAGGTGGACAATGGGACCATCAGTGTGGGACAGGCTGGAGTGACCAGTATGACGTCATTTGGCGTGCCGTGTAGAGGAGGCACGAGCGATTACCAGGAACTACAGCAACACGACTTAAACTCATATGTGTGTTTACAGTGATACGTTATCTCGGGTGCGTGGGAATAGATCGGTTGTGAGTGCCGTACATGTGTGTGTGTGGGGGGGGGGGGGGGTTGTGTGTGTATGAGTATACGTGTTTGTGAGTGAGTGCGGTGGTGGGGGTGGTGTGTGCGTGTGCGCGCGCGCGTGTGTGTGTGTGTGTGTGTGTGTGTGTGTGTGTGTGTGTGTGTGTGTTGATCTGTTTCATTCAGATCTTGTATGTGCATGCAGGCACATGTGGGTGTATATCACTTGCACTGCAAGCACTTCTAGTTGAAGTAAGCCAGCCGCCCAGCGAGCAACCAACACTTTCAGCCTACATGTGTGTAGAAGTGCCTAATACAATGCCATAAATGTGGTATTGCTAGTGTTTAGACATCATCTGACCACCTTCTCCTTTCCTGCATTATTTTCATAATTTAGTACCTTCCAAGTTGAAAGACTGTTGGTTTACGCATCCGAGACGCGATGGAGCTAAACATTGGTCGTTGAATGTCAGTATCACATCTGTCAGTGTTGTGCTAGTTGTTGCACGCTCTGACTCACCGGTATCTTGATTACTAGCATTATTATTTTGTTGGTATTGGAAAAACAAGGGATGACATGAAAACATTTGGTCATCTCCTGATGTTAAACCTTGCTCTCCATCTGAGTCTAACACATGCTTTTCTGCTCCCATCCTATAATAATAATAATAATACATGTATTGGAGATGACATCATGATGATGTAAAATCATGGACGTAGTCTCCTGGTCCTGGACAAGAGTCATGATGCTTGGTGATTGCGTCGTTACCATGATTACAAGCAAATCCGAGTAGATCTAGATCTAGAGACGGAATGCATGATTTCTCACTGGCCCCACCCTGCGTTCGCCTTCAGCTCTACGTGGACAGTCCTCGATCGGAAAGATCACGTGTTCTTTGTCAGAGCGCAGGACAGTACATGATTGTACGCTTCACCATATCTAGACTACTGGTGGTCGAAACAGTCCTCAAGAGGCCAAAGTGGGTGAGCTAATTTAGTTGACAACGCCCCGACCGTGGTAGTAGACGAATGGAGTTGACGTGTCAGATGCAGACTCTGGAACTAGCCTCTGTCTCCCCTGGTCATCTCTGCATTCATGTAAAACGTAGACGGTTGAGCGCCTGTGCTTGAAGAGCCCTCTCTCTAGGGACCTGTAGCACATGCACAGGGCATGTTTCTCCTCGCGCATCACTTTAAGGAGTTTTAAGTGCTTCTTGAAGGCAATTCATCAAAGCCATCAGGATTGTGTGGCCCCGATCTCCCTTGAAATCCCTGTTCCTTGCTATTACCATTATGATGAGTATGAGTATGCATGCTAGTAATTACATGCAGTTTGGTACAGACACATTGGAGTATTCCTGTTCTTCAGAACTAAGCCTGAACTACTACTTGTCGCTCTAACTGGTCACTTGGGTTATTGATCGTTGTGGCGCAGAGTTTCCCGGCCACTGTACTGTACACTATGATGTGACTGTGACCCTGGCTAGCTGGCCGACTGGGCTTAGCGCATTGTATTGTTATGTGCTATGTAACCTAGAAACAACGGGCGACTCCCCGTAGTTGACCTCAGTCCTGTGTCTACTGCCATGTCATTGGTATGACTGTACGCAACAACGCAGCAGTATAATGGAGAATGATTGTGCGAGAGCAGAGAACCGGATGACTTGCGTCGGCATGCATATGCACACGGTCTGGGTCCAACAGTGAATGCATAGTGCAGTGTCATTATTCCCCGGAAAACAGCCAGTCCGGACGCCTGCTCTCCTACGTACCGTCGTTCTCTCCGCATGTGGCTAAGGCGTATCGCAATGCACAAGTTCTCACTTGCTACCCCATCGTCCACAGTTCACAGTGTATGAAGAATAGTTATCGTTACGGTTGACTGCGTTTACAGGCAGCAGAAAAACCAACCGAACGAGGATAGGAAAGTGTGATTGCCAGAAAACTCCAGAGTGAAGACCCGTGGTTGTGCTGCTTCTTGGGGAGCCGTGTCTACATTGTCCAGTGAGAGACCGACACGAGTGGTGAAAGAACTGGCTAGAGAGTCTCGCGTAGCTCGTCGCCAGTGGTGGTCGGCGTCGTTGGCATGGAGGGCTGGCCGATGGGACACAAAGCTGGACGCCAGGTCACCGGCTTCTTTCTACTCGTACTGACAGCGTGTTTACATGATACCGGAGCGCAAGGTTAGTGACAGTATACTCTGCATGGATCTCGCTGCTTATACAACACACGCTAAGGCTAGTTGAGGTCGCTTTGTCTGCCTGAGATGTGTGGCTATATCACATTCTGATGGTGTCATTCTCCCATTTAGCGGAAACCTCGCAAATTCGAAAGCGCTTGCTGTTGACATCGTGTTGACAGTCAGTGGAGACGAACTCGCCACCCGCTATGAGCACTGTCCTGGGCAGCTCCTCTGCATTGCCAGGAATGCTAGTGTTTTCACACCCTACTGTATGCCCATTGCTATGTGAGGATAAGCGGCGCGCATCATGACACACAACACCCCATCCGGGATTTCCCTAACTCGCTACTACACTGCGTGTAACTTGAAATCACTTCACGGTTGTCAATGTGTCGATTTTATCTCCAAAAACTATTCTCCGGTGTACATCTGCGAGTATAGTATCTTGATGAAGGTACCTTGCGTCCATATTATCGCCACACCTACATGATTGTACAATGTACGTATTCGAAGACCTTTTCTCAGTTACATTGTAGCTGCGGTCAAGTAAGACGCTAGTTAAGGGCTGAGTACTAGCGAGTAGCCATTGGCGGACTATGCTCGGCCAATCGTCAAAATTATGCTTTTGATTATGCCACAATTATGCCAACAAATATGCTGAATTATGCTGAATTATGCTGAATTATGCTCGGTTCCACTATGACTTGTATTCACGCTGTACATGCATGTAGAGGATTGAGAAACCACGCATACACACACGGCCATGCCCTAAGCATAATTTTTGTCTAAACCGAAAGATTATGCCGACCTTACACGTTGGAATCCGTATGTTATGCCGGAGCATGATTGTTTTGACGACATCCCAAGATTATGCCAAATAATATATTATGCCGGCATAATCCGCCAAGGACAAGGAGTCGTAACTGGGGTATTTAAAAAAAACATCTGCAGGCTTTCTGACAAAGCTGTATTATGCCCCTAAGCATAATTTTTGTCTAAACCGAAAGATTATGCCGACCTTAAACGTTGGAATCCGTATAATAATTATGCCGGAGCATAATGTTTTGACGAAATCCCAAGATTATGCCAAATATTATGCCGGCATAATCCGCCAAGGGCTAGGGCTGAGCATGCAGTGAACTAGAACTGCTCAAACATAACAGTATGAGTATCGGTACTTTAAAACATCCTTTCAGTTCTCCTTGGTACACATAAAGTGTCAAGTCAAGTCTGTGGAAAATCGCCAGCTCCGGTGTGGGGAGTAAAACACCTTCCCTATGATACACACAACACTGAGAAATTGCACTGCATTTTGCACACGATGGTCATGCAGTAAGGAGCCGCACAATTTCTTCGCCAAATTAATTTCCCACTCATTAATTTGTGAAGGTTACTACCACTCCGATGCTATTCACCCGCCAGATGCACTATTATATTCACCTTTTCGAGGGTGCATTCTTTCGCGTGCAACGCCTTGCATGCACCCTGCTAGCATCTGAAGATGTTCTACCGTCATTCAAAGACATTTGAACGAGTCTCTCCAGTGGCCAGTTTGCTGACGAAGTCTTCAATAGCGCTATTGAAGAATCAGAGCAGTGTTCCTTTCCGATTCTGTACAATCATGCATGATGTGTTGTGGAACGTGTCTATTATTTGACAAAAATTTTGTCAAATAGACACGTTCCATTTAATCAATAACCACATTAGTTGCAAAGGAAGAAGCGGATAACTATGTCAACACTCGCCGTCAGCTATTGCATTTTGTCGATCAGAAAATGAGCAAATCACTCAGCCGTCTAACACCGCCCCATGGGCCCAGCAAGTGTCGACAAAATAATTAATCAACACTTCTGAACATCCGGATGCCTGAGGCGGCCGCGGATTGCTGACCATGCCCATGGCATGGAGCGAAGTTAGGAACGTCTCCGCTGCTGCATGCACAGACAGTCCTCACCAGGATGTAGTAAAATATTATTACTACTCCCTGGAGGAAGAGTTCTTTACACTCCCTGGTCCTCACTACAATGACTATGTAGGCACTGTGATTCCGCAGACATGCGCAACGGTCTCACAACATGTGTTCACACCTTTCCGAGCCACCAAACTAGTAGTAAACTGTTACTTTGTCCTTGCTTACCTTGCTACATGATTGTCCATTCTGGCATCCTGTTCTCGGCGGATCACTACAGTCTTTAGTGCACTTCTTGCCTTCACTCTACGTAGAGTCCACCCGGTTTCTTGCTGTCGTTCGCTTTACAGTACCAAATTCCTCTGTTATCTTCCGAAGAATGGCACCCTTTCCTAGGGCCACCGTGCTCACAGCAGAGACGTCTATGCGTGTGTGTGTGTGTGTGTTATTGTTGTAAAAGTGGACCGCAAAGACTTTCCTTGCTCTGTCCATGGCGCTTCGTGTCTGGGGTAGCGACCAACTCTTCATTTTGCTCGAACCCACAACCTCTCCATCTCTCTCTCTCTGGTCCATCGCCATGTCCTTCAAGGCTTGGGTGGGCAAAGTCCCGTTTCGTTTCGCTTTCAGCTACTGTTAGCGGTCAAGGTGAGTGACACTGCTCACTGTTTCCTGCAGCCACCGTCAAACTATCTGTCCCAGTTCCTTGGTGCACCGTGATTATCGGCACATTGCACAATCATGTTCCTTACAGTCTAAACATTATTTGTATATTGCAGTCTAAACATTAGGGGCCGTCCAAGGTTACCAATAGTATTTTCAAAACGAAAAGTTTTCGTTTGGGGGTGGGTGGGTTTGAAGGAGTTTCGTTTTGAAAATAATTATTGAATGCAGATGGAGAATACCCAGTTACTTCTGGGTGTCGAAAATTGACATCAATATTTTATTGGAATTCGTTTTACCTGCAGAAAAGGTAGGTGGGTGGGTGGGTGCTGAAAAATACTGAAGCTTTTCGTTTCGCGAAAACTATTGGTAACCCCGGACGGCCCCTTATTTGTATATTACAGTCTAAACATTATTTGTATATTACAGTCTAAACATTATTAATTTTGTATATTACAGTCTAAACGTTTCATGTATCCGACCACTTCGCAAGTTGGACTAGTGAATATGTGGGTTAACTGACGTGTGTGTGCGTGCGCGCACGTGTGTGTGTGTCTGTGTGTGTGTGTGTGTGTGTGTGTGTGTGTGTGTGTGTGTGCATGCATTCGCGCGCAGGCGTGCACGTGCATGCGTGTGTGTGTGTGTCCGATTCTGCTCGTGGCTTGAACACTGTTGGTCCCTTCGGGACTTGCTATCATATCCGGACGATCATATTGTGTGTGTGTGTGTGTATGTGTGTGTGTGTGTGTGTGTGTGTCTGTGTATGTATGTCTGTGTATGTATCTCTGTGTGGATGTGCCTGCGTGTTTGTTCACAGTGCCATGCGCGATTCCGAGGCGCAAGATCACGTTCCAGTCGGCCGGTTTGGAAGGCTTTACGCAGGACCCTAGCGACCCATTGACATGGGCAGTTCGACAAGGCCCCACACCAACCGCAAACACTGGACCTCCGTACGACCATACGTTCATGAACAGCACAGGTACGGACTAACGGTGGGCAGTGCGGGTCATGTCAGGAAGTAAAGATTGCAATTTTCCACATCCCAAATTATTGCCTTGAAACACTATCCCTCTAGAGCTGTGAAATGGCATGGCCGAAGTTTTACATGCACATCAGTGAGGCCTTTGTCGGTACCCGCCAGCAAGTTACACAGGCATTGCGGCTACCTTACTACCCGGCATCTTACTAGGCTATCTTTTGTAAAGGGGGTTGAACAAAATTGCTTGAAAATGAGTGTGTGTAAAGCGATCGCCACCCAGTTCCGAGCACGACGTGCAAAGGAGGACAGCCTCCGTCGCAGCCTTTCAACTGGGTCCCTCAGAGACAAACAGTGGTGGACGAAGTTGAAGAACGCTGCTGGCAACCGCACACAGCCCGAAATTCCCCTAATTGTCAACTCTGATGGCCGCGAGTGGGCAATGAGCTCAGAGAAAGCAGAGGCATTCGCTCGCTTCTTCTCGAAGAAATGTAGCGTTGCCGGTCTGGACCTTGTGGAGGCTGACCTACCGGACCCTGCTCCCTCGGATGCTCCACCTCTTCGCACCATCCGCTTCCTCCCAGAGGCTGTGCGCCGCCTCCTGCCAAAGCTCGACGTCTCCAAGGCTACAGGGCCTGACGGTATTTCTGCTCGCGTCCTTAAGGAATGTGCTCATGAGCTCGCAGAGCCACTGTCCAAGTAATTTGCTTTATGCTTCCGGTCTGGAGTCCAACCTAGGATGTGGAAGACGGCCAACGTGGTTCCGATCCACAAGCGATCTTCCCGCTCAACCCTTAGGAACTATAGGCCCGTATCCTTACTCTGCATAATCTCGAAAATCATGGAAACTCTAGTAAACAGACACATCGTAAACTATTTTGAGGACCACCATCTGCTCACGTCGCACCAGTTTGGATTTCGCAGAGGCCTCGGAACATCATACGCTTTGCAAGCTCTCCAAACTGCCTGGGAAAGCGCTGTGGGCTGTGGAGGGGCAGCTCGTATCCTTGCTGTGGACATCGCAGGAGCGTTTGACCGGGTCTCACATGTCGGCCTCCTCCACAAGGTGCGTAGCCTAGGCATCGATGGTCCGCTCCAGAGATGGCTTGCCTCGTACCTGGACACCCGTTCCTTTCAGTGCCTCGTTGGAGGGCGTACGTCAGCTACGTATACGACCTCCGCTGGAGTCCCCCAGGGAAGCATTCTTGGTCCAACGCTTTTCCTGGCGTACGTCAACGACGTGCCAGACGTTCTCGCTGATGGCGCCAGCTTGGAGGCCTATGCTGATGTGACACAACCTTATACAGCTTAGTCACCTCCCAGCAGACTCCGTAAGTCGCAGCGCAGTCACTGCAGGTGTCCGTTGACCGACTGCACGAGTGGGGCCGTACGTGGAAAGTGACTTTTGAACCAACTAAATCCCAGGCCATGACAGCCACCCTCAGACGCGCCGGCTTAGATCTCCCCCACTCCTGTTTGGTGGCACACTGGTGCCCGAGACAACCAGCATCACCCTCCTTGGTGTGAAGGTGGACGCTAAGGTGACCTTTGGCGATCACCCACGCTCCGTAGCCACCCGTGCACGCCAACGGCTTGGGGTCCTAAACAGAGCCGCCCACATCCTCACCCCCGCCGGCCGGACAACAGTGTATAAGGCGTTTGTACGACCAGTCATGTATGGATGGGAGCTGCGCAGAGTCACCCCCAGCGTCTGAACAATGTTCAGCGCCGCGCACTCCATGCTATCGGCCCTGGGGCACACCTACCCAGCTTGGCCATCCGCCGCACTGTTGCCTCGCTTGCCTGCCTGTACAAGCTGCACTACTTGCCTGGTCCTCCGCAGCTGCTCGCTGTGTTGCCACCGCGCCATATCACCTCTGCCAACCCCAGAACCCACAGCGAGCACGGTAGTGTCAGTGGCCATGACCACCAGCTCCAACATCAGCTGCCTGCATCTGCCCCGCTGGCGCTGAAGCGCTCGTTCCCACACTGTAGCATCAGCGATTGGAACTCCCTCCCTGCCGCCGCAGTCTCCTGTCCCAGCCTCACCACAGCAAGAGAATGCAATCATTCAAAACAAATGTTTATCGCCATCTTTGCAGCACACACTGGCTCTGGGCACTCGATTCCCTATGAATAGTATGGTGCTATGATAGTTTCTCCCCCACACTCGCTCGTGTTAAGCCTTGGGTTTTTCGCATCTTTCTGACCTGTACAGCTCTATCTTCTTATTTTTCTTTGTTTTTGGTGCGTGTTTTTGGCCGTGACGCCGTGACCTCAGGTCGGCAGAGTCATCAATGCCCCACCATCACTGCTGCGTCTCGGCACAGCGCCTGCTCATTACTTGTCAGTTTGTCCTAGTCTCCGTACCATTGTCTTTCCTTATTCTTTTCGAGCTGGTTATGTGAACATAGTAAAAAAATAAATAAAAAAAATAAAAAAAGGTTGCATATTCACAGTAGATACGGCTTTGTCGTCAGGACAACCGGAAGAAGTTTGTGATTGGTCCGGTAGCTCCAGTGCTTTTCATACTAAGTTGTGTATGATATGGCGGGTACACATGCCCTCAGTAGGGAACATGTGTTGGCGGCTAAAATGTTGGTCCGGATCCAGCGGGCCTTATTGTTATTGGAATGAATTCAGAGCTCGCTGACGACAATGTTACGCACGTAGAAGTGGCAAATTTTACCAGCAGCAATAGAACCTAAACTGCAACCGAGGGTCAGTTCAAACCTGTCACTATGGCAACTGGTTTGCGTCTTGCAGGTCGCTACGCCTACGTTGAGGTGACCGGAGCCCCCACGCGGTCAGGTACTGAACGCAGCGACCTGCTCAGCACGTTCTACGGCCCGCCGACGGGCGAGTGCAACGTCACCTACTGGTAAGGAATGCCCATGATGCCGATACCTCGGCCAGCAGAGCCATTAGATAATGCCCCGCCATCACTGCTGCGTATCGGTGCAGCCCCTGCTCCGTAGCTGTCACGTTTGTCCTAGTCTCAGCGCCATTGTATTTGGACTCGGATGCAATGTTATCGCACGAGCTGATTGTTTAGTAACTGGTGGTGTTAGTGGACAGTATAGAGTAACTTCTACTTCCTTGGCCCATTGTATTTCATTATTATTTTTGAGCTGTTTATGTGAACATAGTAAAAAAGTCCGCCTGTCGAGAACGGAGACTGAAAACGGAGGACGGAGGACTGTCCAATCTAGCCAAAAACTAAATAGCTGATACATGTACATGACGTACGTGCATAATATTATTGTTTCCGGTAGTATATTTGCGAAATTTAGGGGATTTCACGGACCCTCCCCCCCCCCCCCCCGGATCCTGCACATCCGTACAGCGACCCACAACCATCAGCGGCGGAGGGATCCTGCGATCTCTACAGAGGGGTTCCAGTATAGTCAAAACTGAATAGCTGATACATGTACATTGACACGTATAATGATTGCCAGTAGTACATTTACGAAATTTAGGGGGTTCCGCGGAACCCCTGGAACCCTTCCTGGATCCGCCCCTGACCATAGGATCTTTCGATCCCTCCTGCTTTCTCTTCTCCTTGCACAGGGCTTCCTTAATGGGCAGTCATTTTGGTTTCTTGATCAGTGCCCTCCGTCCGGTACCACCGGGAAGGATAGTGAACCTGGAGCTCACGGTAACGGAGCCAACCACCGAAACCGGTGATTGGCTGGAGCGTAACTATGCTGTTACACTGGACCTTGCCTTTCGGGTAAGCTTTTTCTTCCGTCTGTTGGCGATACAAAACTACGAGCAATGCATTGGACTGACTCTAACTGTCGACTACTTCATCAGATGGAAGAAACCCGAATTGCTCAGGTATAAATAGAAAGACAAAATATTATGAGTTATGACTGTCTGTCCACCAATGTAACCAGATTTTATACAGATCCTTCTCTTTTTTCATCATAAATTATTAATAGGCTCACCATCCGAGTTCAACTTTGCTCAGGTATACTAAGGGTTTTGGATGTCCTACATCAGCCTCGAATCCATCATACATGATGCACTATTCACCAGTTCTGAAGTGGCTGATATGAATTGTACATCGATTGGCCCTAGGGTTTGGTGGAAGGGGGTGTACCATCATAGGTAGAGTTCCACTGTGATTTCGGCCGCACTGAACCAGTCCTGCTTGAAACTCTTCGAATGGAGTTTTAAAGCATCCAATGAGTGTGTGGAGCTGGAGCGCTTGACCGTCTCTCTGGAGGAGCAGCTGTTTACAATTTCTGTTGGTGTCGTGGGCATGCATGCCTTCAATTCTGCGTTGGTGTCCGCTTACAGACCCTCCAGTTTTACGTTTCTGTTACTGTACTGATTACATTTCTCCTTCTTTTCGCCGCTCTGCAGTTACGTTTTGGCTATACCAACCTTCAAGTATTCACAGGGGACCAGGGTGACCTGGGAATTGACGACATCAGCTTCTCTCCGACTTGCTGCGACGGTATGTATAGCTATGGGGGAGAAAATACAGCTATTTGCTAGGGAAATGGAGGATTAATCACGAGAGATACATGAGAATATATATGATAGGGCACATTGGAACCAGGGCCCAATTTTCCAATTTTTCCCCGCGGAAGGGCCCCCAACCCCCACCTTTTCATAGCCGTACCAATGTTGAATACGTTCCAAAGCCTCTGTATGATATTGGGGTTTAGGGGTTAGTGATGTAATAGTTGCTCATTTCTTCTTCTTGTGAAGTGTGTAGGTTACGGTGGGGGCTGCATCACGCCAGCCTGTGTGGATTCACAAGATGCCTGAGTTTCAAAATCTGAAGAAAATGATCGAGCATACCAAATGGCCACTATTCCATTATGAAATTAATGACGGAGGGAGTCTTTAAAGAAAAGTACTTGTAATCCACTATCGCCACCAGAAATTCATAACAGGAGGAATCATGCTTTGAAAAAAGTGTCAGCACCGACGCAATCCACACAGTCAAGTGAAGCCGATTTAGTAACGGAACGTTTTCGTTCCCTCTTATCATGGGGGTGTACAGGGAATTGTTATTATTATTATTTTTATTATTTCACCGTCCAGTGGCAGAAGCCAATGCAAAGGAGGGTGCGTTAGCCAGCCATGGCAAGAGAAGAAAAAAGAAAGAATGAAGGAAAGAAGATGATAATCGGAAGAAAATAATGCATCAGCGGGGTGAAATGTATCACTATGTTTACCATGGCGGAGAGCGGCGAGATAAGCTAGCAAAAGAGGCGAGCGAGCCTACAACGTGGCATGACATTTAACATGGTCTATGAACTGTCTAATATTGGATATCGTCTTCATTTCCATGGGCAGCTTGAGCCAATACGAGTATGCAGAGAAGATAGGAGATTTGGTAAACATAGTTGACAAAGCTCTGGGAAGTACTATGCCATTGCGAGTGTCCCGTGCGAAAGTAAACCAATTATACTTGGTGAGATGTTCAGGGACAATGTTCAGAATGATGGAGAGATATCAAATACAGCAACTTAGA